GTTTGTACACGCCCGCTCGATAGTATTAATATAGATATAAGTATAATTATAATCGTAACTAGTATAAAATTAAACATATAAAAATTTGTTGGATGTAGAATGGACAGATTACATTTAGTTTGCTCGAGTCGTGGTTTTGTTTTTTCATTTTATTTTTCTATGTACATTCATTTGGTTGTTAGTTAAGGGTTAACTACGACATTTGTTTGTACACGCCCGCTCGATAGTATTAATATAGATATAAGTATAATTATAATTGTAATTTAAGTGAATAGTGTAAGATACGACGGTTTTTTAGATCAGTCATAATGAGTAAGAACAATGGATTACATTATTTTAAGCTCGAGTGGCGGTTTTTGTTTTTCAACTTTATTTTTTTGTGTACATCCACTTGGTCGTTAGTTACTAGTTAACTACGATATTTGTTTGTACACCCCCACTCGATAGTATTAATATAGATATAAGTATAATTATAATTGTAATTTAAGTATATAGTGTAAGATACGACGGTTCTTTGGATCAGTCTTCATCGCTCATTTACTAATTAATAATTATTTTTAGGCTCGAGTTGCGGTTTTTGTTTTTTCATTTTTATTTTCCTGTGTACATCCACTTTGTCGGGAGTAACTAGTTCACTACGACATTGGTTTGTACACGCCCACTCGATAATGTTAATTTAGATGTAAGAATAATTATAATTTACATAGTCTAGAGTCAAACATACAATCATTTACGAATTAACCTGAAGGAACAAAAGGTAATTAATTTTAGTTTGCTCGAGTTGAGGTTCTTGTTTTTTCATTTTTATTTTTCTTTGTACAACCAAGTGTTGTTAGTTAAGGGTTCACTACAACATTTGTTTGTACAAGCCTGCTCGATAGTATTAATGTAGATATAAGTATAATAATTATTATCGTAATTTAAGTAAATAGTGTAAGATACGACGATTCTTTGAATCAGTCTCCATCGCTCCTTTACTATTCAATATATATTTTTAGGCTCGAGTCGAGGTTTTTGTTTTTTTTTTCTTTATTTTCCTGCGTACATTCACTTGGTCGTGAGTAACTAGTT